TGTGTGTGTGTGTGTGTGTGTTTCGGTGATTAGTTTTTCTTGGTTATTCAATTGATGCTTTGGTGCACATGTATTATGTGTCTTCTGGAACACGGATAGCTCATGACTCTTTTTTTACGGCAATGATGCCCAGCAAGTTTTTCCACTTCAAGTATCTGCATATTTTACCTCTTTGGATGAACAGGTACCAAAGCAGGTCATCGCTGCCACAAGCCTCTACCCGAGCAACCGTGCCTTCGCACCCTGCTGTATTTTCCCTTGCAGTCTATTCCTGTACATTGTTTCTTGTATGTGCCTGGCTCTTTTGTTTAACGGAAAAGGTTCAGATTTGCTCTTTTGATTTAATGGTTTCGTTACCAGTAACATTGGGATAGTGACTTGCATTACACGGGAGAAGAAACTCTGCAAGGCAGGAGAAGCATCCACGAAACAAAACAGAGAAAATAAATTGTGGCTGTACGTGGAGTAGTGTGACATGGTTAATCTGTTCAGTCTGCTGTTTTGTTCTTGATAAAATGTCTCAAAAGGGCTAATAGATAATACCTGAATTATTGCTTGGGTATTCTGCACTCAGCTCAACCAAAGTAAATAACTGAATTTCTCTATGACCAGTTTACATGAGAATTTCTATACTTCATAGTGAACATTGGCCTAGATATTGTTTGACCCTATGCAGGCATGACCTGATTCTTGAAGATCGGACGCATCCAAGGCGCAATGCTGACATGATAACCTCAAGAATGGTGCGGTCACAGGTTTTTAGAAAAAGGGCACGATCGAGTTCACATTTCACATGAGAGATTCACCATCACTCCCGCTAATTTGGCAGGAGTTTTGCGAAGAATCTATAGCCCTCTAGCAAACACCGAGTAGTGACAAACAATACAAGTTCTCAAGTCTGAGCATGCTCACTATAATGTTCGCTCACGGGGTCATCATGGTATGCGGTTCTGCTCTTGCATTCTTCAGTGCAGAAACTGTCAACATAAACCAGTGACAAAAACAGACTTTGAGCAATAAACACACACTACAGCAGTGCTTGAAGAGTTAGCAGTGGCAACTGGATTTTTATTCTTTTGAGTCAGTCAGATGCTTACTTTATTATTCAATCATCATCAATCAATTTACAATCATGTTGAGTACATATTGAAAAGAGAGAAAGCAAATATAGCATAGCACCTGACCATAAACATGTAACGCTTTCACAGCTCGTCTGCGTAGCTCACCTCCACCGTGCAACGAAAACAAGTCTAAAATCTAGAAACTGTGAGCTTAGCACCTGGAGTTTATCAAGGGTTGGGAGGGCTTGGTGGCCAGGTTCAACTTGAAACCGCAAGAAGCTTGCAGACGTAACACCGCCATCCATGCAAGAACCAGAAGCATCACGAATTGCCACCACCCTGATGAACTGACCAAAGCCCATTCGATCCAGCAGCGGCTTGAGGAGCGCACTGTTGAACGTGTTTCGATCGAGCACACCAGATGGGCAAGGGTATCTGAAAGCCCGTGTCACTGGATGCAGGTTCTTCAAAGGATGACAGGCCACACAGTGAGCATAATAGGACGTTGATCATATCGAGATGCCATTATGTTCTTTCACCACCAACCCTGTCCATTCATCCACCACGAACGGCTAGCATCGTCACTACCCCTCTCATGCACTTCGCCGCCGCCCATATCGCACACCACTGCCACCTCCCGACCTCCCAATATGCCGCTATGACATGATGAACCTCTTGGGGATTTGGTGGAGGGAGGACAGTGACTATCCTCTTCGTCCTGCACTCCTCCCACTTAAATAAATGTGACCGGATGAAGAGTATTTCAAATATAACTTCTGTTCCTTTTTGTTTCCTTTTATCTTTTTTTTGTCCCCATCTTTATGTCTGCTGCGAGAGTGCAGCATAATAGGATTTCCGGAGTAACTGCAAACACTGAAGACGTCAGGCAAACCAGATGAGCAGCATTTTGCTTTTGCGAAGAAAATGGCCACCATTTCCCTTGTACCTTCCATGTTACATCTGCCGACATAAGAGAAATTGTAAGTACTTCTCACCATTTCTCCAGGGTAAATTCTTGTTGCAGTATTATACTATCAGACTAGAGTACATCACCCACCATATGAGTGTTTAAGGGATGGGCCTGATTGCATATTCATCGCAGCAATTCCTGGTGAATGACTTAACTAGTCTAAGCTGAATATAGGTTTTGCTCACTGCAGTCGAGGACAAATAGAAATCAGGTCATTAAGAATGTCAAAAAGGATTTGCAAGATAAACTAACATCTCAGTATAATCACGAGTGTGCACCTTGCAGTTCAAAAGTAATCCTAGAACAAATGAAACCCCATCTACCAGACAATCCAAGGAGATTGATCTACAAAATAAGGTAGTGTGAATCACTGATAAATTTTCAGTCATGCATCTGAATGGATTTTTCCAATTTGTAACTAGCACATACCTTTCTTAACTCCAACTCCAATTTAACATGCCGCAAGCCGCACACTTCACTGATCCAACACAAATGGGAGCTAGACCTTGAGACTTGCT